TATATATATATATATATATATATATATATATTTTTTTTTTTTTTCTATTCATCTAACTATCTTAATGTTTATTTGCATTCCAATTTCAACGGAGAAATACTTTGTACAAGTTGTAACGTAATGAAGATAATTAAAATACAATGTAAACCCCGACGCGTATCGAATTATGCAAACGTGCAAGAGTGTGCTTATTCAGAAACAAAACACGCCAGCTCGTACAATGCATTATTATTTGGAATTTACGACGGTACTCATGAGAACGATGGAAAAGGATGGAGTCGTATTCCTCTACACTTGTTATCTTATCGTGATCTCTAAAGGGTTCGAGTTCGGATGGTGATCAAACATTGAAACAGGTCGAAATCGAATTTCATCTAAGGAATTTATTAAAATTTAATTTTAATCATATTAGTCATCGTTTATTTTTATTTAACATTTTATAATATAGTATTTTAATATAATTATTAAAAAATAATACTTACATAAATGAAAAGATAATTTGACGAGATATAGCGATGGAACGAAATGAGAATCACTGATACGAGCAGGTTGACTACCCCCCGCCCACCGCTACTCCTCTTTCCCCCCTGATTTCATGTTGGAGCAAAGCTCATGTTACACGATGCAGACTATCTTCCGGCCAATCGATACGTACTTAATTAATTAACCCTTTCGTATATCACATATTATTACTAATTGTAAATCCAACGAAATATATTTGTTCCAGTTGCTAACGAATCGCGTTAATAAGTATTTTGTAATGGCATCGTTTGTTGAAAATGAGAGAGAAAAAATAGACGCATGTACAGGTGAATATTTTTAATTAAAAGTAATTTACGTTATGAAATTTGTTCCTAGAAGTTGGTAGAATAATATTAAAATTGGCGATGTTGTTAAAAATTACAAAATGTGAATAATGAATAAAATGAAAGAGAGGAATTATATTAAAATTATTAATGTGAAATATTCAATTTCATTTCCTTTCTTTCTTTCTAATAGAATAAAAAATAATAATTTTTTATTCTATTTGATATTAAATAGAATTTATTTGCTTAAAATTAATTCAATTTTTAATTAAATTTTATCTTCTCTAAATATAATAAATATTTTTAAAAAATATTCCTTTATTTAGAAAGATTTATTTTTTTTTTTTTTCAATTGAAAAACAAATGGATAAGTGCACGAGGGATATTAAACGGAATTCAAGTTAGTGTTCCACGTAAGAACGTTCAATTTTTCAAAAGTTCCGATTCACTTTGTTTGAATGAAGCCAACTGAATGCAGGTAAGATTACATTCTTAAAGTAATTTAAAGTTCGTGCCAAGTTTCTGAGGTTCTCGTTGTTAAACAGCATTAACTCGGTATTGGAGT